CACCGTCTAGAGCGCACGCGCGGACTGGGGGCGCGGGAGGGGCGGGTCCGATGGGCTCCTCGCGAACCCTCCCTACACCCGACGGGTGGCGAGGGGCGTGGAAGGCCTCCCGGAAGCGGCGGCGCGCAGGCGGGCAGGGGCGCGGTTCCAGGGCACGTTCTTCTTTCGCCTCTGGCCGATTTCCGACCCCAGCCGGGATGCGAGTAGCTGTTAGTGAAGCCTTCCCGACGTAGCTCCCGGGTCGCACTGGTCAGGGGCCGGCTGGCCGCACGGCGGGGAAGGCGCCATGGGCGGCCACGGAGGGGCGCTGTGCATGCGCTCTCGCAGCTTCTGCACCTTAGGCTTGTGGATGAAAATCGTTCCCCAAACTGTGACCTCGGCTATTGGAAAGCTGAGTAGCACAGCTTCCTAGTTCAGGAATGCTGACCACCAGCTGGACCTGATTTTTAAATAGAGTATCCGGTGGGCCAGTGGTGGAGAACTGGCGCCCAAATGTAAACTGAAAACCAGGATGGAAACCCAAACCGAAGTCAAAAAATGGAAAGGGCCTATGGAAATGGAAAGGTTTTACCTCCTGTGTCCTCCTTTTCTTACTACAAAGCAGGAAAACTGCTCCGTTCTTAAGATGCTAGACTTGACTTGAAAACTAATTTTTTCCCCTTCATAGAATGCAGGAATAAATGTAGCACAGGAAAAGTTGGAAACCCAGATAGCTTCCAAGTTAACCTTCCTTGCCTCCTCCGCAGCGTTGTTTGCACAAAGCCATTCAGAACTGCCATGGAGAGGCCCATTCCCTGGCCCCTGTCCAGTGAGCTTGATCCAAGAAGTTGGCTGGAATTTGGAAATCGAGGCATTGCGTTCTTATTTCCGCTGTAATTACAGGGGCTTCATCGTGGCTGTGGTGGTTCCATTTCTTTGCCTAACGACTTTATTATTCATTCATGATTAGGCAGAAAGAATGGATTCTTTTGAAAAAGGAAAACGTGGTACTATATTACTCAGACTTTGTAAGTTTTGTGACTTTGAATATTAAGGTTTTTTTTTTTTTTTAAGTGACTGAATGTCATACAGAAAGCTTGGATTCTGAAACAAGGTGTCAAATCGATCCCATTATCTCTGGGATAGATAATGAAGTTACCCATCAGGTTAAAAGAAGCTTAACTCAGTTTCTAACTAAGACAATCAATTTGAAAACTGGTAATTTTAATGATTAAAAAGGCAAGGAAAAGGGGGCTTCATATATGAGCTATGATCATGGGTTGCCTGTCTCTGACATGTCAGGAACTGCTTTTTTTTATCTGATACCATTTAACAAATGATACCATTGCTGAATAAATGATTGAGTCAATACAGGAAATAACAAATGAGCATAACAGGGTCCTTAGCTCACACACCACCTCTGCATGGTCTGAGTTTCTGGAAGATATAAAATCTTTTTTCTATTCATCCTCAATTGCAATTTGGACCCAAGCCCAGAGCTTGAGTGAAATTGCTGGATTGAATCAAAAGAGAACCATTTAGGGTTGGGGCAAACCCAATGTGTTCTTATTTAGTTCCACAAGAGCTTAGGGCCTCTTGTATGTTGAGAGCAGCCTTGTGGAAACCCCAGACAGGAGCACTTGGGCTGTTGTTTTTTGTTTTGTTTCATTGTTTTGTTTTAAAGAAGAAACAACTATAAAAGAGTACATTAAATTGGGTGGAGGGTCAATAAGGGAAGGTGCAGATTGGGTAGGGATCTAAACACTATCAAATTATATTGTATGAAAATTGCAAAATTCTATTTAAAATGTAAAAAAAAAAACTGATGATTTTGACAGACATTGTACAAACCTGTAGTCCTATACTTGGATGGTTGAAGCAGATTTGAGGCCAGCCAAGGCTACATAGCAAGACCCTGTCTCCCATTTAAAAAGGGCCTAGGTTGCAGTCCCTACTCTGATGCACTCTGGTCCTTTGACTCCTATCTATACCCTTCACATTTTGAATATCAGTTTCTTCATCCGTAAGATAAGAATTTTTAAAAATTCTACCTAGCAGATTTGTAAAATATAATATTTTAGAATATCTAACAATTATATCTACCCAAGCTATTGTTCTATGAATGTTCAAAGTTACTGCATCAAAGTAAGCAGACTGTTCTGCCCTCCCAGAGCTTCAGGCTGCCAATTCAGGATCCTCTGAGCCAAGGGATGAAACTGGAACAGAGGCAAATTAAGATAGCCCTACATCCTAGTGGCCCTATACTCCATGGGTGTGAAACCTCTTAGCTCTCTGAGCTGTGAATTCCTCCTTGAATGGTTCCCTGCTTTGCACAGGTGTTTTACAAGATAATGTCCATTTCATGAATCATTAAGCCTAGACAAAATAGGAGGCAGCTTCTCATGCCCAAAAAGAGATTGTTTCACACAAGGAGGATGATAGTGTAGAAAGTAGAGTCTTGTGGGTGGAGAGATGGCTAAGGGATTAAGAGCATTGACTGCTCTTGCAGAGGACCCAGGTTCAATTCCCAGCATCCACATAGCCGCTAACAACCATTCCTAACTCCAGTTCCAGAGGATCTGATGGTTTCTTCTGACCTCCGCAGGCAGTTCACAACATGGGCGCACTAACACACATGCAAGCAGTACACTCATACACATAAAATATTTTTATTAAAAACATAGTCTTGACAGGATATGCCAGACTTCATTTTATCTTTATGGAATTCAAAAGAGCAGGGGATACAGTTTATTCATTCTGTATCCTTAGGCCAGGGCTGGCCTTAGGGTCTTTAGCTATCTAAAAAAGAAGAAAAAAAAACTGACAAAAGCTGCATTTTATTAATTTTAAAAAATTATCATATGTGGATAATCCCATGAATTGATACATGAAATAGTTAAGCATTGTAATTAATATGTTTTCCTTTCAGGATTTCCAAATGTACCAAAAAGGTAATTCCTACTGTGATATGAAAACACTGGCCTGACAGAGTCCCAGGAACCTAATCCCAGGGACCTGATCCCAGGGACCTGATCCCAGGAGCCCAAAAGAGCAGCTACTCAAGACAGAATCCTGATCTGATCCCTGAAGCAAAAAGTCAACCCTTTTCTCTATATAAAACTGTACTTTGTATATTGAAATAAAAGCTTTGCATTAAAAAAAATTTAACTTTAGAGATGGTAGTGGTGGAGATTAGAAGGATGAAATAAACATGGAATGAAGATTAAAACCATAAAATCACAAAGTAAAACAAGTAATGCAGAAAAATAAAGCTTAGCAACATTAAAGTATAGGGTCTAGGGAAACATCAAATGGATAATGAAAAAAGTAAATGGGCCAAGGGAAGACTATACTGGGAACTGGGCATCTGAAGGTTCTGTTTGGAACTTCTACAGATTCCCCTTTTCTTCCCAGTTTGCTTTCCTAGCAGAAGAGTAACAGATAAGTGAGAAATCTGTGGCATTTGTTTCTTTCTCTCTTGAACCAGATCACATGATCTCTAAGGACCTGTCCTAAGGTTAGTTCTAGTTGCTGACAATCCAGTGGCTCAACAGTTTCTTCCACCAAGAGACAAACCTACAATGAGTGCAACAAAGTACATCTATGTAGCATTCAACTTTCAGCAAAGTTTCAACATTAACCTGTCGTGTTTCTTAATGTATTCCTTTAGACTGGGAAAAGCAAATATAAATTGCCCCATTATGATTTTTCATATTTTATTTTGTATCTTTCTTTTAGGTGAACTTGTAATTTAGACTGTTCATGCTCCAATGAGTGTTCTTCAGAGAATTCATTATTAGTCTCAGTTACAGAGCATAGTTAAGGACCAGTCTTTGCAGAAGGCCATGTCTGTTAAACTAAAGCCTACTTCCAGTTATTTTGGGCTTATGAGGTTCTGAGCTCCTTAGCACATATTAGAGACATTAAAAATTCATGTGTCAAGTCTCCATCCCCAAAGAACTTAAAGTTTAGTTGGTGAAGCAGAATAAGCCAGCACAAAATATAATCATATAGCAAAATGTATGATTTAGAACGTAAGAACTAAATTCCAGTGAAGAAATGATGACTGACATGATTGAGGGGTTTTCACAGAGGAAGTGAAATTTGGCCTTGGCATAGATTTTGTGTGAATGGAAAGGAATGTGGAGAAAGCCCCATAAACAGGGAACAGTACATTTCTGAAACCGTTGGTCAGTATTTAGTACATGGCATATTTTAATATGAACTTCTTTCTTAAGTCCTATCTGGAATGAAGGAGCAATTGATGCAAGTTTGAAATGTAAGGAGGGGGCTGGAGTGAACAAATAGTTACCTAATGACTGGGCATGATGTCCTGTGGGTTTCCAGAGCTCCCCAGATTTCTCTAGAGCAGATAACTGCCCCAGGGGTGCTGAGCTTCATCCCCACGGAAGTCATCTTAGGAATAATGAGAGACAAGAACCCACCTCTAGCCTGTTTGGGCCTCTGCTCCTTGGCAGAAGACCACACAGAGGAAGATTTAAACTGATTCTCTCATCACCTCACTGCTGCACAGGTTTGGATCCGGACTGACTCTCCAAGGGTCGTATGCTAGAGGCTTAATTCCCCA